CCGTCGCAACAGTCGTCAATAAACCCTTTTACAATATATATATATATATATATATATATATATATATATATATATATATATATATATATATATATATATATATATATATATATATATATATATAAATATATATATATATATGTATATATATATATATATATATATATATATATATATATATATATATATAATGAAGCCTATCACAGGGCAGTTATCAGTCATTACGATTGACTTGCGTAAGATTAATGAAAGTGAAGATTGAACTGCGTGCAGACGGTCGTAAGCTCGCCCGTCACGTTGGCGTAGTTGGTAGTGGACGTTCGTTTCTGTATTTTCTGTCCTTACGCAAGGCTTGTATGGGCTCACAAATGCGTTTGGGTCCATCGCCGCCAAGGAGTGAGTGTAGTACTTGACTGCTGACCCTCAGGTACAGGGTTCGATCTCCGTCGCGGTGGTCACGTTTCGGTGGAGGTGAATCGCCCGCGCTCAGCGTACTGGGTGATGTCACGGCACGCTATCGAACATGAGACCTGGACGAAATTTTTGGTCCACTACGGCGCTCACGATAATCATGTCGTGGTCTTGGGACGAGAAACCCCCTCAGAAATATTATCGCTATTTAAGATACGATGACAAGTGTCGGAGAATTTTTCAAAAAGCAATAATCATTAGAAAATATTGGCCTACAGTATAAGGCATCTTTTTAGGCATATATGAGCTCGCTATAAGGCAAATCATTTTTTTTTTTCATTTTAAAAAATATATTATTAAATGTAGGGTCAACAGTTAAACTCAAGTTCTACTTATTAACGGTACACTAAAGGCAACTATGAAGTCGACGTTCATTGTTGAAATAGCGGTCCAGAAACCTCGTATAGTGTTAGTTTTTCGTGCCAAAAAAGGGCCCATTTCGAAATGAAATCACGTTTTACTTTTTCCGCATCGGGTTAGCGCACTTCAAATTATCCGCCTCAAGAAGCGGACCGACCGGACCGACTCACGTCACTGTTGCCGCGCCCAATGTGGCCCGGCTTTACTGCGCTAGTAGCAGCAGACCGAAAGTAGCGGGAGCCACAGCAGCAACAACGGCCATTGATGAATTTTCTACAATTGGCTTCGAGATTGCAGACGCTTTTTTATTCAACTGCGCCACGCTAGATGGCACCACCTGTGTAGTGTAACTACGCGAAAATTGAATTTTTGAATCACTCGCGCCATTTCCCGTAGTAATTAATGTCCGGCGGTTCTTTTTTTTTTTCGACGAACCAAAGAGAAACGAACAGGCAACATTTTTGTCCCGTCTCTTGATGTACGAAAGGTTCTCTATTTAGTGCAGCTACATCGATTACTAGTGATTAATTGTAGGTGGTCCGTCTGATGTCATCGGGATCATTTTGAGAAGGTCCTACAGCGACTCATCTGTTCTTGTGCATTTACCTTGCTTTCTCGATAAGGGGGACAGTGTTGTTTAGGATATTGTCGTTTTAGATTTTGGCATACATTGAGCTTTCACGTTCACGTAAATTGTTATTTGACATTAGTGTCCCTTCAAAAAGGCTTATTTTTGTAGGGACATAGGAAATGCTCTAGGCTGTGCAATGAACGAAGTTGTTCATTGCACAGATCTTCTTTGCGTTCATTGCATGAGATGACCATTGAGATCTCACGAATACTAAAAAAAAAAACATAGTGATGAAATAACGGAAACGTATGCCCTAGCACTGAGGGCGCCTTGGTCATGTTATCTCTTTACACAATTTTTCTTATGGACGTTCAGTGCACGCCTACGAACGTCGCAATGCCCGGACCGCGCTTTCTGTGTGGTCCTGCTTACGTACACATTCACCTAACTGTAGTTTCTGAAGGCTCCTGAAAGGAGCCCGACTTTCTGGCTCACTTCAAAAAGTGTGTCAGTGACAAACTTAAACGCAACAAAACAAACCAGCGGTTACTACATGAGTGAAGAATACGATCAGCTATTCAAGACAGTTGGAGCTGCTGTTGGAAGACGTGGTCTAACCGTCACCGAGTCACTTCACAAGTGAAACTGGAGACGCTTAAAGCTCTTGAAACACCTCAAAAACGCTGTGTATTACCACCGCCTCGCGACACGCGAAGCAGTCCGCTGACCTAAAGTTTTGCTGGCAGGCCCAACAGTGGGCATACATCATCTAGGTTAATTAGGATATACACACGAAAAACAGGACAAACGTACTAAATTGTGCCTGTAGAGCACCTCCTACTCCATTGTAGATGTAAACTAAGAAAAATAGAAAAAAAATATTCTCGCCCATTTGTTCCGAAGACACTGAGTATAAAATGCATAACTCATCAGAGACTTAAGCCAAAAATTTTCCATGTTGCCATTCATAATTTCGGGCCTCCGAAATTCGCCAACATGGTGAAAAGTAGACACCAGTGGCAATACTGGCTGCCATTCGCTTTCGTGCTACTCTGCACGAAGGCGAATTTGCACTCAGCAGCTATGATGTCTTCTCCGAGAATAGTTCGCTCGATTCGAATCGTGCATTTCCATACCATTTAGAGCGGACAATTGCCGATGAACAATCCCGCCGACGATGGGTGGGCACATACTGTGAGGAAATCCGCTGAACTTGCAGTAGGGTTGACGGGGCACGATGGGTCCCTTGAACGCCAACTGCGCAAGCGCCGGAGCTAGTACGCTTCTTATCGGGGCATGTTGCGCAGAGCTGTTATCTGCTTGCGCAAACTGTTTAATCAATGTGGTACTTGCGATTCTAACTTTCTTTGTCGATGTATCGTAAAAAAATGAAGTAAATTTCAAGTACGATTGTGCTGAACAGGCTCATTTGAAAGCGACTGGCTTTTTTTGCGCGTCACAGTGTCGCAATATACGTCACAGTGTTTTTCCGTTTCACACGTGAAAGTGAAAAGGACGTTATCGCTGGGAAGCAAAAGAAAGAGGAGACACACTTTCGCCCTTTCACACATTTATTAAACTTCTTTTTACAAGAGAGGCGGTTTTCGTAGAATGACACAATGTTGTACCCGGCCGAAGCAATAAATACAAAAGCATGGTACGCAATTTAGGCAATACTCAGTTCCCATTTGTACAAATAAAGCCTTCGAGCACGTACCACATGTGTTTAAGTGGTAAGCATTCCACTAGCGCTACTTTTGTAAGGTGAACACGTCACCTCATATTGTTGCTAAGAATGCGAGGCTTATAGTGTACATATACAATCAGGCCTAGAATGACAAGAACAATAGAAAACAGAGACGCACAATCCGTGATTCACGGGAAGCATCCTTTGGTGAGGTCACATCTTTCCGTATGTTTTTGACAAGGTTCTCGTGGTAAGGCCTGAGGATGATATTTTACGCGATCAAGAGATGTGTGGCCTCTTTAGATAGCCTGTACTTACGCCACCCTTGCCGCCATGTTGGAAAGCAGTACTCTGAGATTTGGAGGAGAAGCGTCAAGTGTGAGCTCTCTGTGGCCAATTCTTGCGAATTGCGGATTGGCGCGAAAAAAATCTGCTGCGCTACATTCTAGTTGTTTCAGAGAGCGTTTGTTCGGTGCTACAAAAGCCATGTTCGGCAGTGAGTGAACAGTGTTACGAGCGTAAGCCTGCATCTACATGTACAACAAAACATGGTTATCAGTGTTATGTTTTGATTACGCTACAAGTGCGGCTCGGGTTAGATCTTATGAAGGCCTCTGTAGCGCAGCAGAAACGCTCCGTAAGTGGCCCGCAGAGTATTCTATAAGCTTGGATCGATTATCATACTTATCTGGACCGCAATGCCGACTAGATAAGCATTACGACAAGACTGGCTTGACAAGGCAGACAAAGCAGACTCAGTTCTGTCTAAGTAAGCTCCCACTGACGTCATCCATTCCGACAGCGTATTTTTTGCGTGTTGTTGGGTTCTGCGTCCTTTTTTTTTTCTGGTTTTACACTTTGTTTAGCAACGTTGGTAAAGAATCAGGCGCTTGGCGTGGGATGTTCTCGAGAATATGACGGCGTAATAACGGTTGTTGTAGCAACATTTATTGCTTGAGCCAACATGAACGGCACCCTTGTGAAAGCGCCAAATGTGACCACGAACGCCTTCCTGCCTTCGTTTCATCGCTAATAGGTGACCTTTCACCACTGTCGCAGGGGAAATTATGGTATCAAAGTATGTCCTACCCGTAAAAACACAAAAATAATGTGAAGTTGAGCTCCTGCAACGGTGCGAAAGGCGACCCTGCGCGCATAGGGATTGAATATGTTGGGATCACGCTACACTTCCTAGAAACAGATAAACAACACACCAAGAAACATAGCGACAACTAAGAACAAGCATAGACTTGTTGACTCCGCAAGTCAGTCTTCGAGACGCGATTTCGCTCCTTCGAATGAGGTACGCACCCGTAATGGCTGGCGATGGACAATCGATCAATTCTTGAGCGGCGTTCAGTGTGTACAGAAGGAAACTTTTGACAGTTCGTTTCTTCCCGCGAAATTGGGCCATTTATTCGCGAAAAGAAAAAAAATACATGCACACCTGATTCCCACAACAGAAGCCGCCTCCTAATGAGGACATCACCTTCATTTGGCAGGTGTGAACGTGTGGAACTTTGACGCGATTGGTGTGCGTGACGGTACCCGTCAACATCCAAAACGAACAATGCGATGCGATGTTTCTCAACTGAATGGGACACGGGATAATGGAAGAACCTACAAAATATCTACGAGTAGTCAAACAGGGTGACGAGTGTGACATGCGGATGTGCTGGAACGGCGCCCGCTCTGGTTCGCGTGTTCCGCTGCGGTGACCTCTAACAGTACAGTGAACCTTGTTTTGTTTCTCGCTCCAAAACTATAATACACGTGAAGCTTGCTTTTTTTGCACGCCTCGGGGTCACCCCAAAAGCCATTTCCTAAAGCCACCGGTACATCGGAACGTCCGTCAAGAAAGCATTAAGCCTTCAACAAATCCTTCCTTCCCGTTTGACGCACTCTTATCACTTACTTCTTGGACTTCGCGGGCCTAAGCACTTGCACCGGCTGAACGGCAGCCGGTGCATAGGTCAAGGCCGCCCCGTGCCCATAGTTCAAGGGCGCTCCGTAAGCCGGCTGCGCATATGTAAGCTGAGGCCTGGCCACGGCCACGCTACCCGGGAACGGGGCGATCACCTGCCTGGCAAGAGCGTAAGGCGGCATGGCAGCGACAGGGGCGGCAGCGGTGGTTCCTTGAACGGTCGACACCAAAGGAGCGGCAGCAGCCAGAGGCATCGCTACGTGAGGAGCAGCGAAAACACCTGCAGGCGCTCCCGCCAGAGGCCTGAGCGCTCCAGGATAGGCGACCGTCAGAGGAGCAGCCGCCGCGCCATGTTGGTAGGCGACCACCGGCCTCTGGTAGACGGGGCTTGCGGCGGGAGCAAAGCCCGCCGGCTGGAAACCGTACGGTGTCTGGTGGTACAGGGGCCTCATGTAGGTCACCTGGACTGGAGCCTGAACTCCTGCTGCAGCTCCTGGATAGGCGTATGCGGGCCTCTGGAAGAGGTACATCTGCGCTGGAGGGTAGGTGACGGCCACCGGCCGGGAGACGGTCACGGCCGTAGGCTTAGTGGAGGTGACGACAGCGGCGCCGGCCGATGTCACTGTAGCGCCAGCGGCGGCACCGGTTGCAGTCGCGGTTTTGGCCGTAGCGGTCGCTGGGCCTGCCGGCGCTGCCAGAGTGGCTACCACGGTCTTCGTAGGTGTTGATGGAGGCGCGGCCACGCCTGCGCTGGTGTGTTGAGCGAAAAAGACCTGTTGCGGAGCGGCGGCGACGTACTGCAGTGGTGGAGCGGCCGCGTAGATCAGCGGCCGCTGGAAGGTGACGGCATGTGCGCCGGCTGGGTAGCTTGTGACTGTCGAGGTGCCGGGTGCCTGCAACGATACGTGACCAGCCGGTGCCGCCGCGGTTGGCAGGACGGTGACCGCTGGCGGGCGGGCTAGTCGGAGCTTAGATGGCTTGTCGAGGCCAGTGACTGACGATGCGGGTCTCTCCACAGTGACCTTTTGGGGCACTGGCTCCGCAGCTGCTGTCTGCAGTGGCTCATATCTGGATGATCCGGGGGCAGAAAGTCCACCTCCAAAGACATTACTGTAGCCGGTGAAAGCGAAAGGGGCGCTTTCGGGGAGGGCCAGCGCACTGGTGATAGCGGTTAACAGTAGAGGTAGCCTCTGCAAACAGACAAAGTTTAACGGAGGTTATTAAAGTCTACCGTAATATTAGGGCAATGAAGTGCCTGGAGCTCGTAGTAAGAAGTAAACGGCAAGAAGAATGCACTCAGCGAAGTAAGCAAATGTTGATATACAGATTAAGCGTATGTGCGGTCAGCTTCAAAAAAAAAAAGTAGAGACAACGACACACCAGGAAAAGTTGATTACGTCCTTCAATAAGACAGGCTGCTATGAATTTATAGTTCCAGCCTCTTCTGCTGCACGCCGATACGTATCGTGCAGTTCTACCTAATACAATAACAAACTGCTGGGAAACTCAGTGTTAGCTCAAACCCATTGGTCTCTAAACTTTTCACGCCGACTGCACGTCCACCTTCCGCGTGTTCCTTGGCGTGTCCCCCTCAAGAAAGAGAACAATGTATTACGCAGTAGCAGTATTCATGACCTGACTGCATGCTCAGAAATAAAATGACCACTTTGGCCCCCATTTTTTTGCGTCACTCCACTACCAACCCTTTCGGTGGCGGAGATCACATCTCCTTCTTCCTTTTGGGATGTCCTGTTTGATTGCACGCATTCGTGCCGGTAGCTTTGCGAGACATAGGACTATCAAACCGGTTACGTCACTCGCTTCCTGGTACAGACCCTCCCTGCGGCGCGGGCTCCCATGATTAGCCAGATATGCGAGTTTACTCGGCGCTAGTCGGAAAGCTGCCACGTAACTGTAGATAAAGGGTTTCGCATCATTTATCGCTATTCGCCGTGGCTCTTATCGCGAATAGCTCAAAACCGTAAATCAAATGGACAGGTCTACGAAACTTCGCAAAGCACGTGACGGCCAGGAGTTGCGACCGTGTGTCGAAGACTCACCAGAATCATCGCTGCGTTCGAGAGGCCCGGAAAGCCGAGGAAAATCGATCGTCTTTTAAGCGCTAAGCTTCTCGCAACCTGCAGGCTTCGACAATCCGAAACGGAACTGGAAAGTGGATTGCTCCACTCGGCGCTTTTATAAACCGCGCGAAGCCGCGCCCCGTCGTTCCCCCACCGTCGCAGCGCTTCCGTTTGATCCGCATTTTTTTTGTTCTTACTTCCGGTGACCAGAAGGCGGCTCGCAAGTGAAAGAGCGAGCGTGTCTGAGCAAGATCGAGGCAAGAAGATCGTTCGAGAAGCCAATGAACTCCCCGGGAGGGCAACGGCGAAAGTGGGCGGAGGGGGGGTCTAGCGTGCCTATATCACGCGTCTTCGGGGTGGTTGGGGGGGAGGAGGGAGGGATGTACATGCCCACACACACCTTGTTGTGTCGCTTCCGATGGCACAAACTACTACTTCCTTCCTTCCCCTTTCCTTTGAAACCAGCGTAATTTCCCTCACAACGGCCCTCTCTCACTCTTGTCTTCGGGGCCCACCGCAACACCCACCCCTAAGGCATGGCAGAGAAATCCTCTCACAATCCAGTAGCATCTTCCCCACTGCAGAGCCATCGTGTTTTTGTGTCCCGATCGCCTCCCCCTCTGCAAAGAGGATTCGAACGTGCCCACCGCAAGCGAGGACCGCTGGTGTTGCGATTCCTGAATTCTCTCGGCGGCTGCGGACAACGGTGGCCCCTGCCCCCTTGCGCCATGTTATACCGTCCCGCCCACGTGCTTGGGACGATCGTGAGCCTTTTTGTAAGGTATAAGACTCAGTATGGCACACCGTGCCGAAAGAGGGGAGGGAGCGGCGGAAAGGGTGCTGGAAGAGACTGGTCCCTGCGTGATCGGTTTTAACGGTCCCGCCGCTTCTTCGTATCCTTCTTGTTTTTTTTTTATCGAGGCCGCCGCTTCGAAAGGACCAAGCAGCGCAGCTCCGAAATAGGTTATCCGAGCCAATCGGACTTTCTTCTTTTTCCTCCCAGCCGCGCTGTCACCCTTTAGAAGGTGCCTCTAGGCTGTGCGCGGGACGGGGCGATGCTCAGCCCTGTACTGCCTAGTGGGTCCTGGTGTCTCTCTGTCGGCAAGATCTCCTAAAGCAACGACAAGCCAGAGTTTTTTTTTTTTTCATTTTGCGACCGGCCACATTTGTCCCTGTTTTTCCGCCGGATGCAACCGCGGGGCGTACGGCGGGGTGATGATGTTACGCTCAGATTGTTTCGAGAGCGATGTTCTCTAGCGGGGCTTCGACGTCTCCCCTCTCCCATTCCTTCCCATCACTGCATCATTTTGCTGTTTCTATTTTACAGAGGTCCTTTTACCTTGAGAACTTGTTCATTCTCGGCTTTTCGCCATTTTCTCCGAGTCCGCGATAAAACGAGTATTCTTCTTCATGCATAGATGCTCGCGATATCTTTCGATTCAGAGAAAGTCATTCCGAAAGTGGAAACACTTTGGCGAGCCCTGTGAAATTTCACTCAGTCGATTACATTTATCTCAGCTCCTCCGCACCGCTCCATTTTTGACTCCCTTCGTTCGCCCTCTCTTTCTGCTTCGCCACCGCTTATAGACCACGCAGGAAACGAAGTGGCCGTTTTGTCGTAAGTATTAAGTTGCATGCCCGCCTCAAAAAGTACCGACTGTTATACCTCCTTCGTAATGCTTACAGGCAAGTGGAAGCGTTTAGGAGTGTGCCGCTGCTGATCGGAAGTGTGCGTGTTCACAGTATCGGCTAACTTCGAATTATCTTGCAGAGATGTCGATATCTTCGTGATGTGTAGCCGCGTCGACCATCAGGACCACTTACGCCGGAAAAACTCTGGCTATCACATACCCCTCTTAGCGACCGACGTTCGTCCACTTAAGTGACACTTTGTGTCCGCCTCGTAGCCATCGTGTGTCCGCATGCTACTTTACCTTATGCCATCTGTGCGACTGCATTGGTTTCGTCGCGAAGTGCCTTTCTCCTCGTTTGGCGTTAGCTGTGTTCAAACCAACCCAACATATGGTGGTTTTGAGACGTAAAACACCAGATATAATAAAAGAACTTGCCCAATATATCCGAAGTGTTGCATGACCAAAGAAGCTTGGTAGGGTCAACCTATCGTAACCGAAAGTGCGAGCTAGCCACGCTTGAGCTGCGTTCAATCATTGTGATCGCCGCTAAGTATACGAGATCAACTCAAACCAAAAGATCTGGTAGGATTGCAGTTGTGCGATCGTAGGCAGGAATCGTATGGTCCGAGGCAGGCATCAAGTGAAATCATGTGATTTCAGTCAGTATATTATCCTATAAGACCTCGGTCTTGCGTCCATGAGCATGCGCAGGGTTGTCTTCGGGGGGAGGGGGAGTTTTACCGCAGACCGATACCCTTTGATTGGCCGACTACAACGGAAACAGATGGACTTCCCAGAACGGCCTGCCTCTGTTGTTTGGCTTTCTAGCCGATAACATGGGAGGTAAGTTCTTGGAACGTGGAATCGGGGATCCTGGACCTCCATTATCTTCAAAAGCTTGCATATCGATAAGCCAATAATAATTGATTGGGTTCTACGTCCCAAAACCACCATCTTCTTATGAAGATTGTCATAGGGGAGGCCGTGGGCGATTTCGACATACCCGGGGTTCTTGCTTGTACTACAAAAAAGTGACATGAAATGTCCGATCGAGAGAAGTTATGGGACAGACTTGGTGCCCCCTGCGATTGGTAGCAAAATCAGTGGCCCTCCGGCATCCTTCCCCCTTTCATCCGTTCTGTGCACGCGACTGTGCTTGCGTGATCAGATTTCATCGCGTGCATGTAGTACCTCTCATATCTTCTCATCATCTTCCGGAATGTCGAAGAGCCATTGCGCATTCCACCGTGGTAGCGAAAGCTTCGTCTCTCCACAAAAGGCCACATCTACCCTTTAATCTCAACCAGACCGTCAGCCCCGCTCGTTTGCTCTGTGATCCCCACTGAACTCATCTGTGCTGTTTTACGCACGTGTGGAAGGGCCGCTATGCTTTCTGGGACGCCAACCCAGTGAGACATCAAGGCGTTGCTGCAGCGCGACACGCCGTTGACCTGCGCTGGTTTGCAGAGTTAACGGAATTTCGGCTCATGTCGTCATCACCATCAGCCTAACGACGCCCACTGCAGGGTGAAGGCCTCTGCCATGTTTCGCCAAATAACACTCCCCTGCATTTGCTGCGGGCACTATCACCGCGATTCTCTTAATTCTTGCTTGCTTGCTTGCTTGCTTTGCTTTGCTTTGCTTTGCTTTGCTTTGCTTTGCTTTGCTTTTCTGCCTCGCTTTGCTTTGCTTTGCTTTGCTTTGCGTGCTTTGCTTAATCTATTCTCGTGGCCCTCACACACTAAGGGGGATCGGCTAAGGAGCTGGAGGTTAATGTAAGTCAATAGCTTAAGATTATCTAGGCTAGGAAAATAGGTTTACTTTGTTTTGACTTGGTGGGATTATTTTGGCACAATGTGAAAAAGAAAGTGAAAGAAAAGAAATATCATTTCTTGAATAACTGAGGTGTAATCGTTATGTGAAATTCTTCTGAAGGTTAAATCATTACAGTGTAACAGTTAAAAAATAAATGGTAGATTGGCTAGTAAGAATTGAGAGCTGATCAATGGTTCAGCAAGGTAATCTTTCTGTGTCACATAGGAATTCGCAGAGGGCCCCGCAGATGTTTGTGTGGCTGAGTCCTAATGAAGCAGCCCCAAAGGACAAAATATTCGGAGTAATTCTTATCTGCCCACCTAACTTCCTCCTCCTTTGCAGGCTTGTCTTTGCTTCAAACCCGGTCAGTTACCCTTAGTCACCAGCTCTCACCTTACCGTCACGCTACATGCCCCGCCCGTACCCTTTCGGGGGGCGCAGTTCCCTATGCCGTGGGTCGTGCGTCCGCGATGTATGTAGTAGTAGTAGCAGTAGTAGGTAGCCACCTCCACAGCCGGACTAGAGAAGCGGCAGGCGCGCACCCTTTTCAATTGAGGAGAAAACCCGCGCACGTTAATCATAGAGACGTGATTGTTTCTGATGAAACAACTTACAGAGACGAGTATTGGTGACTTAATCTCCAATAAAATTTGCCTTGAAATTGATGCTTACTAAAAAAAATAGCTAGTATCACAAGGACGCACTTTGAGCACTATCTGACCAGAAAAGGTTGTCACGTTAAACTCGCTGGGCATAACCTCCCTGGTTTTAGCAAGGTTTAGCGAGGGTTGGGCCGCAGTGATATGGATATAGTGAACAATTATATAGCGGATTATAGCCACGAACTAAAGGCGGTAAAAAGTTGGAAATAGGCACGAAGCGCCGGCCGTAAGAAAGTGCGCGAATGCCACCTCTTGTTTAGTCCTCGGAATGTCCGCTGGATGGCGGTACTTCTATACGCTGAATATATGATGAAAAGATGCGATATAGCGGTACTTGGAGTGTTCACTAGATGGACAGACGGATGGACGCATGGACATACAGACAGGTGCGTGGACGGACGCATGGATGGACGTATGGTTGGACGGACGCATGGATGAACACGGGGACGAACGCACCGATGGACGCATGGACGGTCGCACAGACGGACGCATGGATAGACGGAAGCAAGGACGGACGGACGCTTCTCCCCACTCATCATCATGCGCTTTGTAAATACGCTGTGATTTTTTTTTCCTTCTTGATATTCGACAAGGTGTATTTCACACGCTTAATTAACTGAACTACTGTGCTCACTCGATCACTTAAGGTATACCTTTAAAGGTACGCCCAAGTGATCCTAATTAAACAAAATTCAACTTCGCGGACAACTCGTTTTCGACGTCCATACAAAATTAATTTCTGCTCGGAATATTTAGAAGCTATGGCACACATCCGTCGCCTACGATGCATAAGTATTGGCTGCTAGATTGGCTCACAGAAAATGGAAGCAAGAACGCATGTCTCTAAGTGCCTATGCTGGAACGGAAATGGAGATCT